AATCATTAAAACCTGCCAAAACCCCTATTAAAAATAGATAATTTTTTGCCTCATTCAAATGTTTACACATATGCCATTATGTAATCCCCAGCTCTTTTTGACAGGAAAATCTTTGACGCCACTGCAGGACCATTTCCGTTCTTGCCCTCCAAAGTCTACCACTTTGCTAGTGATCGTTTCATTGACGCCTCAGTCGCTGTGCAAGACCAAGTCCTGTCATGGCTGGAGGTCTGTCGATCCTTGTCAGACTAATGTAAATTAGACAATGTAGAAATGTTAACACTTCCTTTAAATCTCCTCTCCTTGTTGTCTATTTCAGATCCTTACTGCTGTCGACGTCAGCATCCCCATGAAGGAACTTTTAACCATGTTCCGCTACGGAACTGCTGCCTTCGCAAAGCATAACAAGTTCTACGAGTATGTATCCACAGTCGATCATCGAGACATGAACCTGAGTGATAGCGACTGCGACGACCTCACTTACTCCGACTGTGCTAGTCCAGGATCGGATTATTTGGATGACTGCTTTGACGAGGAGGACGAGCAAGATAGCTTAGGAGAAAGCGCTTCTGATGGCGAATCTCAGCCAAGAGGATTGCATGAGAAAGCTGGTCAGGGTAATGATGATCTCTCTATTGAAGAAAAAGCAGATGATTATTCGGAGTATGCGGATGATGAATCAACCGGTCTGCTCGCCTCCGATGGGCAACCTACTAAAAAAGGTGCTATCCGTTTCTTCCTGAGCGAAAAAAAGTCCACGAAACAGACAAGTAATACAGAGAAGCAAAGGAAAGAAGTTGAAGATACTTATGCCACACGCGAAATTTTTCCATCTAAGGAGAAAAAGAGGTCGAGAAACACCAAACGTCAGTCGAGGCGATACTCCGTGCGTCAGGATGACCAGCGAAAAATCTCCCCCAGACGCAAGAAAACCATCCTCTACCGGGCTACACGGTGCTTAGGACTGATGTTAGACCTCTTAGGCAAGCAGGTCTGTTGGCGATTTATACCATTTTTGTTTTTTATGTCATAAGCTCTGATTCGCTGTAATAAGTGCTTTCATAATTGTCCGATAACTGCTCACTGACAACTTGAATCGAAAGTAATCTATTAAAAAACCATTTAAAATATCAAGTGTATGATACTTTAATTAATCAATTATCTGGGCCGTTTTCTTCTATTTTTGGAATAGTAAATGATACAACATAAGTCAATAGTTTATGTTCAGCGATGATATCCATGTAAGCATTCAGGAAGTCAAGTTAGGCGAGGGAACGTTTCCGATTAATTGAACTAATTGTCGGACCCCTTTCCCCTCTTTGGTCCCTAATTATGACCAGAATTTGATCTTGAGCCCTTAACACCTCTCTCCCCTTAATTACTACTGATTGGTTGCTTAAACGTTTGCTACTTCTACCCTCCCTTATATTATGCTTACGGCTGCGATCGTGACTGATCTAGCCGCCCTCAATTATGTCCCGAATGGTGCTTCTCCAAGCGCGACGATCCATGGCCGC